GATTTGGAAGTACAACTGGATTTGGACAAACAAATAATCAACAAGGAGGGTTTGGATCGTTTGGACAAACTGGTAATACACAAACAAGCGGGTTTGGATCGTTTGGACAAACCAATCAACAATCAAACGGATTTGGTGGATTTGGCTCACTTGGAAATTCAACAGGATTTGGACAAATTGGTAATACACAAACAACTGGGTTTGGTGGATTTGGACAAAACAATACTCAGCAATCAAATGGGTTTGGTGGATTCGGATCATTTGGACAAACCAATCAACAATCAAATGGGTTTGGTGGATTTGGTTCACTTGGAAATTCAACAGGATTTGGACAAATTGGTAATACACAAACAACTGGGTTTGGTGGATTTGGACAAAGTAATAATCAACAAGGAGGGTTTGGATCATTTGGACAAACCAATCAACAATCAAATGGGTTTGGTGGATTTGGTTCACTTGGAAATTCAACAGGATTTGGACAAACAAATTCATTAACAGGATTAGGGACATTTGGTAAACTAGGACTAAACCAAACAAATAACCAAGGAAACTCATTTGGAGGATTTGGAAATAATACTTCTTTTGGTAATACAAATATCTCAAATTTTGGAAGTTCTACTACTAATCTGTTTGCATCAACCAATGGAATTGGTTCATTATCAACAGGAAATATTAACGGAAATTCTTTCCAGTCATCCCAACAACAAGGATTAACGCAACAACAAACATCAGCAATTATTGCTGATATGGCACAAAAACAACTTAATGAAAAACAAAAGAAAGAAGATAAAGAAAAGAAAGAAAAAACAAAAGTTAAACACCCAGAAGTTCATAAAAAAACTGTAGTAATGATGTATCAGTCTTTAATACGAGACTTAAATATGACAAATGAAGAAAATAAAAATACTAAAGAAGAGGATAATAAAAGTAATACAAATGAACCAACGCAACCTGTTGAAATGAGGAAAAGTTCAATACCTATTTTTTCTAAGGCACCTGTTATGAATAAAAGTGGATATTTTATGGTTCCATCAATTTCAGAATTAAGAGAATTAGAAGAAGATAAATTAAATAATATTAAGTCATTAACAATTGGAAAAAGTAACATAGGTAAAATTGAATGGAAAGATGTTGATGTTAGGAATATTAATTTTGATATAAATGTTATTATTAATGAAAAGAATATTGAAGTATATCCTGACGGAACATTGAAACCAGCTGAAGGAGAAAAATTAAATAAACCTGCAACCATTACATATTTTGGAGGATTAAATGAAATGGGTGATAAAGAACTTGACTCTTTTGTTAAAAAACATTACCCTTATGTTACTAGTTACACAAGAGATGATAGTACAAAAGAAGTCACTATCGAAGTTGATCATTTCTAAAATAACATATACCATTAATTCAGAATTATATTTGTTGATTATTGTTTAATCAGTTTTTTAATATTTCTTTTATTTATTTGCTTCTTAAATCTACTTTTTCTATTTTTCAAACTACAAACATCTTATCACCTTCACAGTTATTTCTAACAAATAGAACAATAATCATATTGTCAATATAGTTGTATGTGTTAACATAAATAAAATATAACAAACTCATCAATTATTAGTGTTTCCTAAACCATTAGTACAATGGTAGTCATTTAAAACTAATAAAACATTTAAACTATATGAATTAATACAATCAATAATCTAATCATTTAGAGAGAATGCATAACAATTATTAATATGGAAATAACAAAACAAGACATAAAATATATGTAAGTACTGATTTAAATGATAGAAAAAGAAATAAATTTGATTTGATATTAGTTTAAATGGTCAAGTGTTTATCAAAAAAAAACTAACAGTAAAAACCAATAAGATTCAAATAAATATCTTTAGTTGAATAAAAATAGATTTAAATAGTTGTTATTTTAATCTCTTCTCCTTTAATATCTCTCAATAAATTCAATTATATTCTTCACTTTTAATATTCTTTTTTTTCATTTACCTATCTGATTCTAAAATCTTTATTCTCTTTTTATACATCATTCTTAATATTCTGAAATAATACACTTCACTTTAGAACTATTATTAAAAGTATTTTATTACTTTGCACAATGAATAAAATGATATTATTTAGAGTTTTCATAAACTGCATATCAGCATTTACATTATAATAATATCTCATTATGAACATACATTTTTTACTGTCAATAACTTCTAATGTTTTTTAATTATATTAAACAAAATCAATATTCTTACATATATTAATCATTATGGATTTAGCAAATCAAAATAGTAAACCAATTTATTGGTTTTTATTATGTTCTTTATTCAAACAAATATTATCTTTGTTATTTTTATCTTCTTCATATTCTTCACTAAATATTATATACTCTATTTTTTAAGATAACTTTTAACTTTAAGACAAACACATGAACGTTTCTTATTACCATATGTTTTTTTTTAAATGTTTCCATTTCTATATCTTTGTTTCAATTATTTTTATATCTTCTAGTATATTATTCTTTATTTCTGAAATATATTTGTTTTATTGATAAGTTAAATAAGAATGTATAAAGATAAATTAATAAAAATAATTTTAAAAAGAAAATAATAAAAATAGGTTATAATAGTTATAATAATAACATTTTTATAATTCAAATAAATTTCCATAATTCTATTCAATTAATATTTTTAATTGAATAAGAAAAAAAA